CCGCACTCATTCTCCCAACTGCCCGTGCGGCAGGAGCGCTGCCTCTGTTCCAGCTGGGAAGGTCAGACAGGCTGAGGACATCACTGCAGCCACACAGCCAGGGAGAGCATCCACCCTGCGTAGAAGTGGGGTCCCGTCTGCCCCATCATAAGTTAGTTAGGGGATTAGTTAGGGGATGGGGCGGGTGGGCACCCACCCCCTCGCCTGTGAGCTCCATGGCCCAGGGACAGGTGTTTAGGGAGGTGGGGGTGGGGACACACACTGAAAACCTTTGCACCACACAAACCTGGCTGTGCACGAGGGTCCCAGGGTGCTTGTTACAGCTGGATTCCCCGCTTGGATGTGGACAGTCTCGGGCATGGACTTGTGCTCCTGAGTCTGTGAGGCCGGCCTTGGCGCCACCGCTTGCACCCCCACAGGCTTTCTGCACCCCGGGGTCTGATGCTCGCAGCAGCCTCACACTCATCGTCCCCTTTTGCAGAGGAGGAGGCTGAGGCTCGGGGTGGAGTAATTCGGTCACAGATCTAGTGAGTGGCTGAGCTAGACCCCTCGGCCCGCCTCCTCCTCCCGTGGAGCAGAGGGGCGGAGGGGCGGAGGGGCGCCGGCGGGACAGTCAGGACATCGGGTCTCCGGCTGACACTGCTCCTCTGCCCGCAGATCTACATGCACCTGCGCTGCTACAGCTGCCCTAACGAGCAGCGCTACATCGTGCGCATCCTCTTCATCGTGCCCATCTACGCCTTCGACTCCTGGCTCAGCCTCCTCTTCTTCACCAACGACCAGTACTACGTGTACTTCGGCACCGTGCGCGACTGCTACGAGGGTGAGGACGTGTGGGCGCGCACCAGGAAGGGCCGGCCGTGGGCAGCGCACCCCTCCTGCCTGGCGACTGGGAGCCACGGGCCCCTCTCCTGGTTTCTCCTCGAGGGGCCACCCCTCGCTTTTTTACCCACCATCCAGGCCTAGAGGGACAGGTGACAGCACAGGTGTGGCCAGAGTCTCACCTTCAGATGCCCTTTGCGATGGGGCTCCCAGAGCAGCGTCACAGACACCTGGAAGCAGGGACTCTCCCCCCGTGTCCCCTTTCTCAGCTCTGGTGTCTCAGACGGGTGTGCAGGCAGCAAATGAGCGATCTGTCTGCAGATAGAAGCTCCAGGTGCAGATGGGTGGGGTCTATCCGGGCGTCTGTGGGGCAGGGCGGGCCTCCCTCCCATGTGCCTTAAGTCTGGGGGCTTTGTCCCTGGAGGAGCTCTACTGTGCCACCCAAGAAGGTGGCTCACTGCCTTTTGGGGGCCTCTGCTCTTGCATGTGACGTGGGAGCATCACCAGCTCTGGCACTGAGCTCCAGGCACACCAGGCCCTGACCAGCCAGCCCTCCAGGAGTCTGTGCCGCCTGCACAGTCACCACAGGGCAGGCAGCCTCTCTCACCGGGGCCCAGTGTCCTGGCCTGAGGCTTGGAGAATGAGCTGGTGCCTGTCAGAGGGAGGGCGAGGAGGAGAGTCCATTCTTGGCTGAGCGGAGAGCTAAATTGAGGGGAGGGAGGAGTCCCCGTGTGCCCAGCCAGGGTGGGGTGGCTGTGGGGGGCCGGTGGCTGGAGGAGGAATTGCACTGGGAGCCAGGGACAGGGACATACACAGCCTTGCAGGCCACACAGGGAAATTTAGATCTTCTTTCTTACTGTTGATGCCTAAAAATATGATGCGAAATTGCAGGCTACAAAGCTCTCTACATGGGCTGTGGGTGACGGAGGGGCCAGAGGCCCCAGGACAGGCCACAGGCCAGCAGGCTGGTGAGGAGGGGTCCTTGGATTCAAGATCCCTTCTGATGCTCGCCCCCTCTCACGGCCGTGTGTTCCCGTCCCTGTACCTGCACTGCTGGTTCCTGGTAACGTGACCAGATGTGGTTTTCCTTGTGCTGTGACCAGGCAGCTCTGACCATGACCGCCTGTCAGCTTCTCTGACCTGGGAGGACTTGGTCCTTGGCCCTGGGCTTCATGCTCGTCCCCCGAGAAACGAGTCTGTTTCTGCCCCGTTTTGAACCCGTGTGTCCCTGAGCACTCAGAGGCACAGGAAACGCCTTTGGATTTGGTGAGGAAATTCAGATGCCTAACACCCCACCTGCCCGTTCAGCCACACCGGCCTCCTTTCTGGCCTGGCGCACCGGGTGTTTGCCCAGTGCCCGCAAAGCTCTTCTCCGTGGGCTCCCCCTCCATCTGGACCGCGGTGTCCCCTCGGAGAGGCCTTCCCGGTGGCTCCCCTCCCAGACCCGGTCCGCAGCACGCGATTTGCAGTGAAGTGCCTGGTTGGTTCTCCCCTTCCTGAGGGCAGTGCCAACAGAGCCGGGCACATGGTAGGTGCTCCCTCGTTCTGGATGTTGGGAATGAAGAAGGGACTTGGTGAAACACCTGCTCTGTGCCTTGTGTTCATCCACATGTAGCCTCATTAAAATCCCTGCTGGTGTCCCTGCCTGGCCCTGCCAGGTGACGGTGCTGAGGCAGGTGGGGCTCTAGTGCCTGACATTCCTGGAAGCAGCAGAGCCCCCAGCAAAACCTCTGGTACCTCGGGAGCCACAGAGGTTGGGGTTGGAGAAGGTGAGGCCAAGAATCCTTTTCCCTTCACCTGCCAGCCTCGCATGGCGCAGCCTCTGCTTGTTCGTTCAGAATAAACAAGCTCTGCCCTGCCCAGGGAGCCTCCCCGTGTGGTCGGGGGCAGGCCCTGCAGACTGGGGTGCATGGCAGAAGGGGGCACAGCCAGGGAGCCTTCGCATTGCCGTCGCTCCCGGCCCCAGAGGTGGCAGCAGATGGTTGGCGGCTCCTCCCACTCCAGAAGCCTCTTTGTTCAGGCCCTGCCTGTCCAGACCTTCCTCCCAGCTACAGAAAGGTCCTTTGTAAGAAGTCTGCGTCTCCTAGCAACGCTATTGTCCCTGGGCCCCTCCCAGGCAGTTTACAAACAGGGCCCCAGCCGCCGAAGTACAGGCCACCAGCGTCCACAAGCTCGGTGTCCGCGCGGGTGGCGTGGCCCTCGCCTCGCCCTTTCCCGCACCTCTGCTCCGTGCCTGGGACCCTCTCCCGTAGTTTTTATATCTACAATTGCTGCAGCTCCGCAGGACCTGCCCCCAGCCGGCGTGGTGGTGGCGTGTCCCTTACAGTTCAAAAAGAGGCCCCCATGCGTTCCCCTTCCTCCCAGTCTCCTGAGACGGGGAAGGGCAGGAGTGGACGGACTGGGCCAAGGAACTCCTGCTTCACAGTAGCCAGGCCTCTGCTGGCCATTAGGCGACATTTGCTTCTCTTTTTAACAAAATTAAAACAATGAACATTTTATTTTTATTAAAGTCATACATGCATATGGATGAAACAAGCTGCCCCAACTCCTCTGACTCCCAAGTTCACTGCACTTGCAACTCTTTTTTTATTTTTATTATTTTTTTAAAATCAGGATGATCATCTAACCAATGGAGCTACCCGGCCAGGGCCACTTTCAACTCCTTAAACTTTTTTTTCCCTTGAATAACCTAAAAACGTGCGTAGACTGTTGTTTCTGGATTTTTCAGTTTCATGTAGTGTTTAGTAGCAGACTTCTTCCTCTGGGAGGCTTGTGACTTAGGTACTCACCTCCGGCTGTGCACACCCGCACGCTTTCGCTCCTTCATCTTTTTAAGGTGACAAGCGTTTCTAAGTCCGCATTTCGTGTGTGCGTTACTCCATGTCTGTAAACATTGTTCAAAGCTGAGCCTGCAGGTGCCTCGAGATGACATTTCCTTGTGCTTTTCCTCTGCTGCCACTCGTCTTGCTGTTTGGTTTACTCTGTTTTCTATGTATCTGTCATCACTTTGTTCCCGAACGCTTCACTGAATTAGAAGCATGCCTTCTCTGAGAGGAGGCGCATGTCTCTTCGCTCTGGGTTTTCCTCGGTGCTGTTCCTCCCGACGCCCGGCCTCCTGCTCTGGGCTGGGCCTGGCCTCCTCCTGCTCGGCAGCTGCCCCGGGTCTTCCCTGCTCCCCGCTCCTGTGCTGACCACCTGTCCCCTGCGGCCATTTTCCCTTGTTGGTGATTCCCCTCTCCTTCTGGTTAGAGCTCGGCTCCCAGGAGCTTCCTGAGAAAAGGGTGCATGGGGGTTCTGTTTTCTGAAATCTGAAAATTGTCTACAAATATATATTATATTGTTCTGTTTGGGAGTACAATTCTAAGATGGAAATTACTCTCCCTCTGAATTCTGAAGGCAGGTTTTTCAGTCTTTTAGCTTCCAGCATTGTTTTCGGAGAGTCTGCTGGATTCTGATTCTTTTTTAAAAAAATGGACTTGAGAGAGAGAGAGAGAGAGAGAGAGAGAGAGAGGAGAGAAACGTCATTTTGTTGTTTCATTTATTTATGCATTCATTGGTTAATTGTTCTATGTGCTCTGACCAGGGATCGAACCCACAACCTTGGCATTGTGGCATGACACCCTAAATAACGGAACCACAGGCCGGGGCTGGGTTCTGACTCTTAATGTCTGTGTGTGACCTGCTTTCCCCTTTGCTTATGGTCTTTGCCCCCAGTGTTCTGAAATCTCAGAGGCGGCGGGATATTCACTGTGCGGGGTGCCCGGTGGGCCTTCATGTGGAAGCCCATGTCCTGAGTGCTGAGAATGTTCTTGCATGTTCCTTTGCTACCCCCGCCCCCGCCCCCTTAGTTTATTCCTCCTTTCCGGAATTCCTGTTGGTAGGATGTTGCACTTCTGGATTGACCTTTAAGTTTTCTTTATGGTTTCTTTTGTTCTATTTCCCAGGAGCTTTTAAATTTTATTTTAAATATTTACCTTTGAGCTTTTCTACGGAAGGTTTTGTTTTCTTTATCGTGTTGTAAAGCGTCAGGCGCTCTTTCCTGTTCTATTTTATAGTCCCTTGTGCTTGGTGTGGGAGAGAGTATCTCCCTTCCCGGGACGCTAATTGCAGTTTTCTTCTGTTTCCTGCATTATCTCGGTCTCCTGACTTCCCTGTTTGTTTGTCTTGGCCTTTGACCTTTGTGTTGGAAGCGCTCCTCAAGTGTCTGGTGTCCTTGGCTATTCTTTGTATGAAGAATGGGGCTTACACTGCCGGCCTCCCAGTTGGGTGACAGGACACGGCTTTCCTGTGCCGTTTTTACCCAGTGGTGGGGGCAGGCACTCGATGAAGATTTTTTTTATTCTGGGCCTGTTTCCCCAGATAATAATGTTCTCTGGGTGGTGAAAGCTGGGCACGCTGAGTTAAGGGTGCAGTTGGGGGAAGGGACCTAGACACCTCGCCCTTCGCATTCAGACCTCATCTGTTTTCTGCAAGTGTCCTCGTTGCTGCCCTCGGCTGAGCTGAGTTCTCTGAGGAAGGAGCTGTCCCCACCGGCCAGGAAAGGAAAGGCCGCGCGCAGACTTGCAGCCACGTTTTCCATCCGCACCTTCCCCCGCAGTCCTGGGCCCTCCCGGTCAGGGACCACGCTGACCATGCTGCATCTTAGAGCTTTTGTAACATTGCTGTCGGCTGCCTCCGGTGCCATCTCCTTGTCCTTGAAGGCTTGTACTTTTCCACCGATTCATTCTCATCTTAGTGGCATCCTGGGGGGAGAGGGAGAGGAGAGTGGAGATAAACAGCTTGAGTGGGTGGTTACATTGCCATTTTCCAAGGAGAGGGCGAGTCTCAGAGAAGTAAATGGCTAGCCCAGGGTCCCTCTGACCGAGTATCTACCATCTGGTGAGGGCCATAACTCACACCGCAGTTCACACGGCAGCGCCAGGCAGGAGTAGCGGGAAACCAGCCCCTTCCCTGCATTTAGTGTTTGATTGTGGTCGGGGTGGGAGGTAGCTCCTAGAGACA